AAATCCCAGTCTTCTATCTTCTCAGATTTCTGAGTTAGCAACTTATCCGAAAAAACTTTCACGGACCTGTATGTGGGAACCACGCATAGTCGTGGGCTGGCTTTGAGCTTGGATGGAGAACATCTCGTTAAAATTTCAGCTTCGTAGCTTCACCGGTTCCCGAGTTAGCAGACTCCCTGCCAAAAGCTTTGGCGGGCCCGTAAGTAGATACCCAGCGGGTAAGGGCGCCCATTTTGGCTGCAAAAAACGCATAAGAAGCACACAAACAAAGTGCTAAAGTTATTATTGTAGCGTACCGTAATTGTCTGTTGCACAGTCCAGTGGCGCAGTACTTCATTTGTTCGCAAGCTATAATGAACAATGATACGGCATCGGAATGCAATCAAAAGCTCGCCTGAATTATTTGGATTTATAGCAATCTGATCCGCTGATCTTCCTTGATCCAGCGCATCGACCCTAAAAATACTAAAATTCATCGCTAGGATTTGCGAAAGGAAAAAAAGAGCCTGAAGGACTGTAAAACGAGAAACTTCAAGAACTTCTTCTGATTTTTCAAAATTTAAATTTGTTATCCGGATTTTATGAATCTAAAGCCCAAATTAAATTTTCGAAAATACTAATAGCTCTGCTCAAACAAACATTCTGGCGCTTTTTTAGCCAATGAACAGTTACTTTAAACAAATTGCAAAACAACCTTTTGATGATCTTTTCTTCAAACAGTACGACTTCAGAAAATTCGAGAGTATTAGCTGACAATCCGAATATGTTACCCGTAATAGTACCAATAAACAAGCGAGCATCTGATGGCTGCCCGGGCACATTTTGCATTTCGCAACAAGTTATTCTTTTCAACCTGAATACAGTGAGAGTATAAAACAACAAAATAAATATCTGGGCATATCTGAAACCGACACAATCAAGCGTTTTAATTATAAACTGTTAGAAGAATTGAAAGCTCCAAACGTTTAAAAGTTTGAAATCAAGGTGGTATTTAATTTGGGAAATTATATATCCGAAACAGTTTTCGATGTGCATTTGCGCTACGACGTAGGGAATTTCAAAGATATTTGTAGAGAAGTGGCTACTTCGCTTACCGAACAAGCTGCAATACCAAGCCTTAGCAGGGATATTCTATATTCACGTGTGGTCTAAACACAATCTTCAGGCTAAATTCCTTGGACGGTGACATAAGAAATACCCAATTTTACCGCGACATCAAAATCGGCTGTGTTTTGCGGATTTCTTAATCCTTCCGTTCCGACATTCTGTGTACTGTCAAATTTGCATTTTTCGATGAACTACGGTCACCGGGGAAACGACCGATTTTCATCCAAAATTGATAATCATGCGCGATGGAAGTTCACGCGGCCGCATGATGCAACATCACTATTCTAACCGAGTCCTATTTCCCCTGCGTGCAAGAAAACATTAAAAAACACAGCCAACACGTGTTTCCACATGTTAAGCTGCAACGCAGGAACTATTCATACTGTTAACGACCTGAATGCTGCAAGTTTAATGCAAAAATGCATGACCGCACCGAGAAACCAGGTGTGTGACTGCCTG